TAACACAAGCAGGGGGAGTGGGAGAGGGAGAAGCAGGCTTCCCGCCGAGCAGGGAGCCCGATGCGGGGCTCGATCCCAGGACCCTGGGATCACGACCCAAGCTGAAGGCAGACGCTCAATGACTGAGCCACCCAGGTGCCCCAAAGTCTATTTTTTCTGATGAGAGTATCGCTCTATCACCTTTTTTTTATTGTTTGCATGGTATATTATTTTCCGTCTTCATACTTTCAATACTTCTGTGCCTGATATTTAAAGTGTTTCTCTTATAAGCAGCATATAGTTGAATTTAAAAAATCCATTCTATACTAAATGCATAAATTATATAACTTTTTTTACCTAACTACTGATATGCTTGGGATCTATACTTCCTATTTTACCATTTGTGTTTTATTTTTATGTGCCTTTTCCTTTCCTGACTTTCTTCAGATTAATCAAATGTTTTATATTATTCCATTTTCCTTCTGTTAAATTACATTTTAAAACCATTGTTAGTAGTTAGCCTAGAGCTTAAAACTGTATTTTTACTTATCACAGTCCCATGCAAATTATTACTTTAGTACTTGGCTGATACCAGTTAAACCTTAAAACTTTTAAACTCCATTTACTTCCCTCTCATCATCTGTTATTGTTACCGTGGATTTTAGTGATAACGTAAAAGTGCGGCGCCTCAGGGTCCTGCAGGTATGATTTTGTACAGCTACCGTTCATTCACATTTGTCTTCCCGGCGTTCCTCAGTCCCTCCTGCATGTCAATATTTCCATCTGGGATATTTTCCTGAGAACTTTCTTTAATTATTATTTCAGTGCAGGCCCACTGGTGCCAGATTGTCTGAATTTTCGTTTCTTTGAACTCATCTTTATTTCACCTTAATATTTGAAGGACATGTTTGCTGGTATAAAATTCTAGGCTTGCAGCTTTTTTCTTCCAGCTTGAAAGATGTTGTTACACTGGCCTCTGGTTTCTACCATCTCTGTTGAGATGCTGTCAGTCCCGCTGCTCCTCTGGAGGGACCCACGGCGCGTTAAAGATGGGCCATGTATTCTCTGTCATGACTAGCAAATGCAGGACGTTTCCCCTGCCTTTGGCTTTGAGCAGGCGCGCTGGCACTCGCTTGGACAGAGTGATGCCACTGCAGTTCTGCTACGCATAGGCTCGCAAAGGCGCTCAGAGGCCGGCGTGCTTCTGTTTTCCCCCTTGTGGAGCCCCGAGCCACCACGGAGAAAGGGCCAGCTACCCTGCCGGAGAGACTCCCGAGACAGAGCTTCCCAGCTGTGCCCCAGCTATCCCAGCCACTCCAGTGGACGCATCAGACATGCGAGTGAAAGCTTCTTTGGTGGCCAGGCCCAGGCGAGTCTCTACATGTCTGCAGTAGCATGAGCGACTCCAAGTGAGACCAGAAGAAATGCCCAGCTGAGTCTAGCTCAGACTGCACAATCTTGAGCACATAACGGTTTTGTCGGAAGCCAGTAAATTCTGGGCTGGTTTCTGAGGCAGAAGTGGATAACTGAAATACTGTTTGGTATTCAGAATGGAGTGCTGCCGTAACAGAAACTTAGAACCTGTGGTGTTCTAGGACTGGGTTGAATACAACTGCTGAGCATCAGTGAGACTTAACGGAGGCTGGAAAAGCACAGAGGAAATCACTGTTGGAGGCTGGAGAAGGGGCAGGCTTACCTATTGGCAAAACAAACGGTGAGGCTGTACCTTGGAGTACAGCAAAAATACCTAACCGCGTTGTGGATCTGGCTAGGAAGACTTCCAAGAGGAATACTGAAAGTGACGGGCTTTTTGAAAAATCCTCTAGTAGGGCATTAAAAGAGAGAGAACTTAAACAAGAAACTGTGCAGTTTTCAAGCAGAATTTAGAAAAAATGCCTTAAGCTGGGACTTGCCAAGTTAGAAAATGAAAGTTTTTCAACTACCAGCTTCTCCAATCAGCATGAGGTTTTAAAGTAAAAAAAAAAAAAGAAAAGAAAAAAAAAATCCAGAATGTTACCAGTAAAACTATGGCCTCAGGGTCAAGCTCAAATCGGAAGCATGGCAGTAGGACCCTTTGTTACTCCCGCCTCAGAAGGTAGATGTAAGCCTCATAAGGCTCTCTCAGACAAAAAGCGTCTAAAAATCTTAAGGGTATTTACACCCTGGACTCACATTCAAGGTAGACAGGGGCCTTCTTGAAGAGATTTGGAGTGTGGGTTCTGTCTGGAGTGACTTATAATTTGAAGGTCTAAAAAGTCTTTTAAAGGGGTTGTGCCAGCGTGGACTACAAGGGACAGAGAGGTGGGAAGCAAGATGAGTGAGTTCTTCAACTGCCAACCCAGGCCTTTCTTACAGAAAAGGAAAGACTACTCAGAGAGAAGGGTCAGGAGCGGAGAAGCAGATTAGGGAACCAAGCCCAGGAAACCAAAATGGGCCATAATCAAGGAATATTCCTTGTAATGCAAGTCATCATGGGAACTGGTGACATATGGCCAGACAGGGTCCAGAATCGACAGGGAACAGTGACTGCTACGTCCTTCCCGTTTCCTCTCTTTAAAACTGCCATGACTTCCCTATTCCTGCCATACTGTCGTGTCGTGCCAGAAGCCGAGGTGATTCTCTCAATCACTAGGTTATAGTACCGCTTTAACATTACATGCTAATAAAGTGGAAAGATACCTAACCGTAAAGTAATTAATTTTAGTTTTACAAAACCCCCTCTTTACATAAATATCACACAGAAACAGATGAACAGTCTTAGAAACTCTGTTCTATGTCCTCTAGGCTCTATGAAAATGCAGTTTTGCAGATATTTTCTTTCAACATTTCAAGAGAAGAAGATATTTAAAGTTGTGTTTCCCATCCACAATCTGAAATGCCAACTACTCTTCTCCACCAGAAGGACACCTGACTTATGTCATATACTGTGATTCCATGGTTGCCAGGACCCCCATCTCCATGTACCCACGCTGCAGTAAAGAGGACAAAACTGATGAGGTAGGTTTCACCACGGGAGGTAAGCAAGGCCGCCACAAAGAGTACTACTAACTGAGTGATGGAAAAAGCAACGGAAAAGTGATGGAAACTTTTAGTGATGGGTTATTTCATGTCCTCCCTTTAGCTACTAAGTGCTGCGTAACTCACGGAGGAGGTTAGAGCCACTTCGTGGCAAATCACCCAGGAAAGTTAGAAGGTGGACGAATGATAGTTTCCAGCTTTCCTACAGGGTGACTTACCTTTTCCAAAACTTTGGCAATTCGCGTGCCAATTTGTTCGAGTGACTGCTGTGGATATTGGTCTTTGCCAAGATTCTGCAGTACCTGGTGCAGGGAAAGATGGCAGGTGAGAGCAATGAAAGGAGCAGGATCTAGGTGACGCTGCTGACGCTGAGTTGGACACTAGAGCCCAAAAGCAATGGCTGCTCTGGGTACGTGCTGTGGTCCTGCTGGTCAAGATGTGTGGAAGCCTTTAGAGTGTCCCTTCCATCCCCTTCCACTTAACAAAAACTACAGACATGTAAAACACATTCATCACAGCAACATTAGAAAACAGAGTAAATAAAGTTAAAACTATCTATAATCTTGTCACCTAGATGCAACCACTGCTAATATCTTTATACTGATCTCTCAGGTATTTTTCTGAAATAATATGTATACACACATATTACTTCTCTCACAGAATATGGGATCACACTGCCTATTGTCACCTATATTTTCACATAATATGAAGATTTCTTCATGCCAATAAATGTATTTCTACTACATT